GGGAATCACTTAGAAAGCAAAGGCCTGTCCTTCTTATTACCTTCATAGGTATTATTCCCCAACACACCTAGGGGAAGTGGAACAGTACAAAAAATACTGGAGTTGGCTTGTCTTGATATTAGGAAACATTTCAGCTGGGGTTGTCCATATTTCCTGTAGCCTTAAAAATAACCAAGCAATGGAAATTGATCCTGTGGCACATTGGGAATTCTTGATATTTCCCCTCTTACGAGCAAATACAAGAAAATCTTTAGGTTTGGTGCCATGAGTCAGTGCAGTCTGACTGGTGTTTGAAGCATTATAAGCAAGTTTCCTATATGATGAATATCCAAAATTAAAAACTGAAATGGAAAACATTTAAAACCAACTTTACCTTGGATAAAATATTTCTGGAGCTGGATCAAAGGAAAACAAAAAGCCTGGCTTACTTGTCAGATCATATCTGCACTGAACTTCAAGGTTTGATTTGTATTATTTACATGGAAAAGGTCCCAAGAAACCAATTTGGCACTAAATATCTTCATTACGTTTTTTCGCTTGTATGGGTGATTAAATCAATCTAGGGTTCCTGTTTTAATTTTTTTTGAAAGGTGCAGCCATCTGTGAGTTGAGGAACTTTTCTGATGTCATCTTTGTGCTTCAGACATACTTTCCCCCCTCCTTTTTAATTTCTTTTTTAATAAGGAACCTTTTAAAGAGCATGTTTGCTTTACTATTAGAGTTTCTAGCTGTCCTTCCAGTAACTGTTTAAATTAAGGGTATATAGTAACTTTTTAGAACATTTTAACTGTAACACCTGCAGGTAACAGCAAACCAGATTAAAATATAACCAAGTCTGTCTGTTAGTCTGCCTGTTCCTCATCCTGCATTTATCAACATGTTCCCTGAATGCTGTGTGTGAAACTCAGCACATGTATTTTGTACCGTGCTATGCACAGCAGCACTGTGTGGTTTTACACATTAGAGTAAGCAAAGCCTCTCCTTTACAGTCAATGTAAATGCTCCCATTGATTTCTCCTAGGCTAGGGTTCCACCTTCTTTGCTTTAAGAGTGTTTTCCTTGGATTTATTTAATTTAGGGGATTTTTTTTTCTCTTTTTTTTTTTTATTTTTTAATTTTTGTTTCACTTGAATTGATAATTTTGGAGTAGCTCCCATTTTACTCTTTGGACACATTTTATCCTTGCACACAAGTTCATTTAATGTGGATAAAGGACACATCTACCCCTGGCAGGTTAAACAT